AGTCCACCTGAAAACTTCATCTGTGCAGTCAATTCATTAAAATTATGATCCTGCCTTCAAATATTATTTCCCTGTGCACCAGTATAAAACCCTGTACACCGGCAGTGCTCTGTCACTGGAAATCCCCCCTTAAAGGAAGCCTCTGGCCCAGTCGCCTCTTCTATGTTTTCTGCTAATGTTTGCAGTTGCTGGAAGGTGTTTTCCAAACCGTAGGCACCAAAATAATAAAATCGAACACATTTTGCCATCAGGTTTCTAAATCTTAATCCTAAATTATTTTAAATTAATCTAGGCATTAATAAACTGTTTTAGTGAAGTGATGATAGTGATCTGCATTAGCAGTGCTGTGTCTGTCTCCCTCCCAGCTCCCAGATCAGCTTTTGATTGGTTGATGTGGCGCATGGTAGAGGTGGGCGGATCGATCCCAGGATCGATACTATCGATACCAACGCTGGTATTTATATTGAACAATATTCGTTTAACAAGATCGATACTTTTTATCCTCTCTCGCGCGCGCTGACTGCTGCGGAGTCACCAGTTTCCCCATATGTGTAACAGCACTTTGCTCCCCCTCCCCTCTCCTACAGTCACATGGCTCAGCGGCGCCAGCCAATCAGCGCGCAGGCTTAGCTTGGCCTGCCCACTCAGCACTACGTCACACAGACAACCGCGCTGCCGGTTGCTGGGTGAGTGCTCACTCAGACTTGGATGGAGAGAGAGACCAAAGACCCGCCTCCAGCCTCAGACAGACATCTTTGACCCAAGCGTTTCAGTCCTCCAGAGAATATCCAGGTAGATAACAGTGGTCATCGTCTGCAGCACTTCATTATACATCATATATTACTCAGAAAGTGTAGTTAAGACCTTGAAAAAACCCAGTACATTTATCCCATTAAAAATTGTTAGCTAAAATAAGTTAACATTAGATAATCTCTTATTTATTCCACGATTGAGAACTTTATAGAAAAAAAGCAACAGGCAAGTGCAGCTTAAATGTAAAAAGTATCGGTATCGGTATCGATATCGGCGATACTGACCCAGTATTTACTTGGTATCGGATCGATTAAAAAATCCCGGTATCGCCCACCTCTAGCGCATGGAGCAGCAAAAGTTCAATTTATTCAACTCCAGCAGCTGCTGCTTTTGCAGCACATCCAGCGCATCAGATGCTCAGCAGCACATGAGACACTGCTTCAGCTGCTTCGAAGATGCAGTGCTCCTGCTGCTCAAAATGCCCTACTGGACCTTTTGCTGCGCGTTGATGCACATTAACCATTGACTTTGCATGTATACTAGCTGCTTCTGCTGCCTCTAGCACGAGCGGTCTGAACGTAGCATTAGAGACTATAATATGACTTCTGACGCAGCAATAAATTTGATTTATTTGTTTAAAAATGAGTTCAAATGAAAACTTGCATCACCTCCAGCTGTCCTCTGAGTGGGCATCCATTTATATTTCTTAGGGCCTGGTCCATCAGGTCCCACATATGTTGATAATTGTCTCCACCTGGTGGCCTGGAGCACCTCCGTTAAGTGTACCTAGTTTACAGTTTTTCTTGAATTTTAGCTGCTGCTACCTACAGCATTTTTTCTTTTCCTAGTGTTTGGTATGTTAGCGTTATCTGTGTATTAAAGCGGCTTTGGTGTCTGCAGCACCTCTGACACTTTCGCTCTCTATTTTTGTGATCAAAGCATTTCTCCTTTGCAGCATATTTCTTTTGCATGTGATTTATTGATGTATTGTTTATGTGTTAGTCTCACTTTTGTGTTTGCAGTACTTTTCAAATGTGTTATGCATTGCTGTTTTTGCAGTGTGCAACCCCCAGCAAAAATATTTTGGGTTTTGTTGTAGATTTACATCCACAAATTACATATAGGATATTAAATCCTATATGCAATTTGTAATTTGTAAAACAACCATCAATGATTTAATTTAATTTTTTACCATTTCATTCTTTTTTTTTTTTTTCAGTGTCCTGTCTGGCAATGTGGCAATAGGAATAATTGTCTTGATGCCAAAAAGAGCCCAACAGATTTTACTTTCACAAGTGGAGCAGTATGGCAATTGCCATACTGCTCCACTTGTTTCATGCATATAAATTGCTTTATTATAATTATGCAGGGAGTTTTACAGTTTATATGGACACTGCAATGTAAATAGAGCAGAAAAACAGAAGAAGAAAAGGAAAAAAGAAAAAAAAAGAGAAAAGATGAAAGATAAGAGGAAAGAAAGAAGAGATAGAAAGGACCATTTCATTCTAACATCTCCTAAGTAAATGTAGTCGACTACCCCTGTCTGCATTGTTTCTTGCTGATCACCAGTCAGATATGCACTTTCATCCTTGGTTTTACACAATCTGCTTTCCAAACACAGCTTGTGTTGTGTCTCCATCTGTGACATAGTTTCAGTTTCTCCTAAAAAGTAACTTGCAAGACATAAGACTTAACTTAAGCTATATTTTTCTTCAGCAGGAAGCATGTTCCTCTGTAGAGATTTAGTTTCTGGTTAATTTTCCTTATAAGACCAAAACCATTGCAATATAAAGCTTTAAAGTCATTTTAAACTGTAGTTACTATATCATAGTCCTCACACTTAATATCTCAGTAATCCAGTTGGGCTGACAACTTTATTTACGCAAATAGATAAATCTGTAACTATAGCCATGAAGTCAGCTTTAGTAAAACTGTTCCAGAGTTAAAAGACCTTGAAATTCCATGAACAGTTCCCATAGGTAAAGGAAGGAAAGGAAACACAATTTTCCCCTTTGCTGAGGGGTGGGCAGCAGAGAGTCTGAGTTCAAACTTAACTCCCCGTTTTTCTCCCAGTTAAGAGAGAAAGTTGGCTCTGCATGTTGAAGGACAAAAACAGCTGTGCTGGAATCCAGCGCAGGCCTGATTGCAGCTGTTGTTTCCAAGCAATATTCAAACACTGCTGATAGACCAGGGGGGATTGCCTCACTGGTGTCTCATCTTTGAGAAAAGATACTGACCATATTACTGTCTTAGTCAACTGAAGTTAAGTTACATCTAAGAAAGGTTTGCATATAGTTTTCCAATGAAAACTTTTTTTAACATTTCAGGCAGCATTTTCTTCAAAGATATTTTTACATTTACAGTGATAAAACTGTGCAGCAATACCACCAAAGATGTTCACATTCCCCAATCAAGTCCCAGTCAAACAAAAATAAAAATTTTATATTTAATGCATATCATTTGGTATGAGTAAAACACAGATTATAGGTAAGTTATGAAATAAAATTATCCTCCAACAAAATTTGACACAAACATTTTATAGTTTCATCTTTTCCAGAACATGTTATACTACATATAAAAAGACATTTATTATTCTAGAAACTCAATACTGACAACATATCTTCTGTTTTTAATTTAATTAAATCTAGTATTGGACATTTAAGTTAGTTATCTTATAGTTTTATAAGTGGGCTTTTATTGGGGAATTGCTTTTTAGTGCTTTTGCGTGCTTAAAAATAAACTTAAAAGCTTAAAAAAATAAATACACTACACATAAACAGGGAAACGTAATACTGTATTCTAACTATTCAATCTTTTATTGCTAAAGCATGAAACGTTTACTTTTAGCTGGCAACCTCTCATTCAACATATGTTCAGAATGCTCAAACCTTTGTAAAAAAACAATTTTGAGTAATTAACTTTTAATATTTAAGTTTGAATCACTAACATTTTTTACATCTTGATGTAAAACACGTACTTCATTCTTCAATACTCTTACTCACTTACTCAAAAATGTTGATGTAATAATTTCTTTCTTGTACACAAAATACCAATTTTTAAAATATAATATAGTGTAATATTTATTAAAGAACCACAGCACATTTTATATGCAAAACGACCAATAGAAATCTCAGCATAATTCAAACTGTGATTTTTATTTTGAAGTAAAGTGTTTTCTTTTTTTTTTAGGACTCATATCCCTGTTTATTTAAAGCTTAAACATATGGTAAAATAATTAAGAATTTCAGTATTGATACAGAACATAAGAGATATGTCACTCAGTATTTTAAGGAAATGTAAAAGGAATACCAGGCTTTAAGAAATAGGTATGCTATCTGCTTTAATTTATTTTTTAATTTAAAAAAGGGGGGAAAGTGAAGAATTTTATTCTCCCAAATATTCAGCGTGAAAATCTATTGGAATTACAACAACCAAACCTAACTTTTTATTTCTAACCTGGTTCTGTACATCTGCACACTGCTAGATTTTCTTTTTACCTTTGAGGATGGGAGGCAAGTCATTAATGTTGGAAGGCCTCCTTTCCAGCACCCTAATCTTCGGCTGAGCCACAATAAGAAATAACTTATCCAGTCAAAATTTATATTGACTAAATTAAAATACAGTTCTAATCAGGCATGTGATATGACAACCATAAGCTTAACTAAACATTTAGGATTATAACACACATTGTGGCTGTGGATGTATTAAGCAAAATGAATTTGTAAGCTGCCATTACCTCGTCTTGCTGGCATGTACTGTGTGTAGCATTACCATGATGACCAGTCATGTTTATACACCACAGCATTCAAAGAAACAAGATTATTCCCTTGCCCAGTGGATCTACACTTCCAGGGTTTCACCACTGACGAGAAATCTACATGAGAAAAACCTTTGAGCAGAATTTGAGCCCTAGATCTCTAGTTTGAGCCGAGTCTCAGTCAGGTCTGAATTGTTTTTTGTGTCATAGTCTCTAAATACCACTGTGATAGCGCACCAAACATAAAATAGAGCTTCAAGTTATGCCAAGTATTACACTAACATCTGATAAAACAGTCTTTGAGCAGCATATATATATATATATATATATATATATATATATATATATATATATATATATATATATATATATATATATATATATATATATATATGTATATATACATATATATATATATAAATATATATATATATATATAAATATATATATATATATATATATATATATATATATATATATATATATATATATATATATATATATATATATATATATATATATAATCTGTAACATACGATGCACTTATTGAAAGTTATATTTATAACAAAACTGTAATTGTCCATTCCGCAAGAAAAATGTTAAGACACAAGAAAATATATTTTTATACAGTAAATACTGAAATTCTTCATTATCACTCAGCCTCTTCACAGGCCTTAGGAGTCAAGTTCTTACAGACCAGACCCAAACTGCTGTTTGCTTGACTTTGGTTGTGTTTCTTGTTTCTTTTTCTTGAAAGAATGTACATTAACTTGGAGCGATAGTGATCTCCGGCTAGGAAGTACAGGATGGGATCGATGCAACTGTTGAGGCTTGCCAGCGGCCTTGTGATTTTGTAGGCAAAGTTCACAATGTTAAGGAACTCACAGTTGAGATTCAGCACACGTGAGGTGTAGTATAGTGTCCGTGTGACGTGAAATGGGACGAAGCTCACTGCGAATACTATCAACACCACAATGATGAGTTTGATGGACTTTCGGTGGGAGCCAGTGGCCTGCTGGCTGGAGGATAATCCCCGTCTGGGCTGACACAAGGTCCTTGCCATCAGACAGTAACACACCAAAATGACTACGAACGGGATGCCAAACAGCAGTACCATTATTACAGAACTGTAGTCAACGTACTGCTCAAAGGCATCTTGTCGGGTCGTGTCATGGCACAGTGTGTCATTGTCTCTCCTTGAGGTGGTGACGAAGATAAGGTTAGGCACCAGGCAAACCGTAACAACAAACCATACCGAGCCACACACCAGGTGGGCGTGGCGAGACTTCACCATGGTCAGCACCTTGATGGGGTGGCAGATGCCAAGATACCGATGCACACTGATGCAAGTGAGGAAGAGGATGCTGCAGTAGAGGTTGGCATAGAAGAGGAAGCGAACAATTTTGCATAGAGCGACGCCAAAAGGCCAGTCACTGCGGTTAGCATAGTAGTAAATCAGAGTGGGCAGTGAGAGCACGTACAAGAAGTCCGACAAGGCAAGATGGAACATGTACACAGTACTGGGGTTCCACGGGCGCATCCTTATGAACATCCACAATGCCATGGAGTTGAGAATGAAGCCAACAACAAACACCAGGCTGTAGGACACAGGAAGCAGGATGTATTTAAACTCCTCATTAAAGCGACAGCTGGAGTTAAAAACTGGTGTGAAAACCTCCAACTGGTTGTGTGGACTGGAGTTCCTGATGACCAGCTCCATGATAGACATCTTATAGTCAACAGATGACCTAAAAATGTAAGAAAAGAAAAGATTTATGAGTGTTTTCATAGTAAGAACATGAAACATGTGGTTATAAAACAATTTTAAACTACAGAGGTTTAAATAGAAATGACTGCAACACCTTCCTGTTTGCTTTAAATCCTAATATCCTCTGATTCATCTCTTAACATTAGCAGCATAAAATTACTGGCATCAAAATATCTCTGAGTGATAAACAGGATGCATGGCAGACACATGCAATCAACTCAGAAGTGTAAATTGATATATTATGTTAACCAGAGCTGTTAAAAAGAATTGGCCCTCCTTATAGAATTCTTCTGTTTATGCTTGTTGTCAGAGATAAATATTTACCTATTTAAATATAAATAGGTAATCAAGACCATTAAAAATCCAACAGATAAACTTGTTCAGTAATGACAAAAAATCTTTTAAAATAGAGACCAACCAATTAATCAGCCAGACGATATTTTGGAACGGCATCGGCCAATCCAAATGCACACATCCTCCAAATCATTTGTGCATTCAGCACCCCTGTTCTGAGATCAAGTAAAGCGCATGCATTGCAACTCCCTCCATTCGCCATCCACTGTTAACGTCATTTTTCATTTGCTGATGTTGTTTTTTAAATGGAGAATTGTGTTACAATTGTTATCATTTTCTTCATGTATATTAAAAAGCTATATATCTACTCAAAAACTGGCCCAAAAACTAATTCTAAAACCATTTTGTGTTTTTAACTTTTGCTTTAGTTTAAGATTGACTTGCTGAGAGAATTTCAAATAAGATTGCCCTTTAGGGAGTAGAATTAATGGTTTCACCAATCATAATAAGGTCCTTAATAATCAAGGTCCTTCTGTAGCAGAAAAGCCCCAGACCTTCATACAACAGCTAGCATGGCAGTATTTATGGTCTAAACCTGCAGATGCAATGTTCGCTTTTCTAAAACATTATGTTACCCATGATTTACACTGCTGGCAACACTCCCTTCTGCACTTTACTGCCATTCATTTTAGTCATAAAGTATATAGGAGAGAAGAGATGCTCTGAAAAGGATTTCACAATACATTGCAGAAGCAATGGATAAGGACGCTCAGTGTAGATTAGTTGTATTTTTTTTCTTATTTTGGTGCATTTAATTTGTTGATTATGAATAACTATAAATTAATAATTTAGGCTATGGATTTATAGGTATGCGCGCATATTTATTAATAAAGCAAGAATTTCAAGAAAGTCTACACTGAAGTATTTTCAAAATAACAGATGTGCATGTTTATTTTCCTGTAAAGTGGTCTGATTAGATCGACTCTGAACTGGCTTCATCGTCTTTATTGAGCTCACAGTGGAGAAATGTATTCGTTACATCAGCTCAAATAGTCAAAGGAGAAGAAGAATGTGACAAAGGAAGAAAAAGAAGCATGGGATATATACAGTATATACAGTTCGTCAACATATGACAGCTTTTTTTTATTTTCTTTTATAGTATGATTATTATGAAGGGTTATTGCACAGGGTGTTTAAATTGGTATTTATATAGATGGATATTTATATTTATAGTTATTGCACTGGGTGTCAAATATATAGAAACAGATTATTGCACAGGGTATAAATAGTAATTGGACTTTATACACTGCACAAGTTATTGTCGTTGTAGTGTAGTCTGATGGCAGCAGGGATGAATGACCTGCGGTAGCGCTCCTTTTTACAAAAGAGTGTAAAAGTCTTTCACTAAAAGAGCTGCTCAGCTCCTCTACAGTCTGGTGCAGAGGGTGGAAAGGGTTGTCCATGATGGAGGTAAGCTTGGACAGCACCCTCCTTTCAGCCACTTCCTCCACTGAGTCCTGAGTGCAGCCTATACGACAGAAACAGCCTTTCTCACCAGTTTTTTCCACCATTTCTTTGGGGGGGGATGGCTGTGTCTATGTTGCCCCCCTTATTTCTCTCACCAAAGTTAATATACACATGCCCACAGAGGTACCATTTTACCTTGTCAGTCAACAGAACATTTTTCCAAAATCTTTGGGATCATAAAGATGTTTTTTTTGTTGTTTTTTTTTTGGTCAAATATGAAACGATTGTTCCCTTTAAACATGCCTATTCATGTCACCACTGACCTTAACTAAGGCCAATTTAACGCTAAAAATATAGTTTGGTCGCTAGTTAGATCTAAATCCAAACATTAACAATAGAAAAGCTGTAACAAAATTATCATATGGAACTATAACTTGGTATGAAGGCATGATATTGTAGTACAAGAACTTAGTTTTACAGACTTTTCCAATACGGATAAAACGACACCTAAATGTTTAAATAGAACATTTATAAAACAGTTTTGGTAGGTTATAAAGAAAGCCCTTTCTTAGGACATTTAAGACTCTCATTGAGGCAGAATTCAGAATAATTAGCTTTGTGGAAACATTGTAAACTCTTAAATACCAGCTGAGACCAGGTATTTACATACATAAAAAAAAGGCTCAATCTTTTCTTCATGCTAACAGATCTAAGAAAAACAAAACTTTAAGAGCTTTAGTTAGATTAGGATTACATAATTACATTCTGTCTGCTGAAGACAACATTAATGAGAAAGACAATTTTAGGGAGGTTTTTGTTCACTTTCTATGAATTTAGAAGTGTAAATATTCATTCTTTCCTTTTTAAAGAATTTATCTAATTATTTTAACTTGGACAAAAGGTTTTGGGCATCCTTTATTGAGTTTCTTATAACAGTTTATTTATCTATTCCTCCTACAAAGTTACAATAACTTAATAAGAGTATATGCAGTACTTTTTTTTTTTTTTTTTTTTTAAGAAAACCTGACTTAGAATTTTGATCTATAATTAGCACAAACTTGAAAACTCACAAGAAAAAAAATATCAAAATGCATCTCTAAATGAACAATCCGGATATTTGGGTGAAAAGTATAACTTTCAGTTAAGTAGTTTCATTTCATGTTTCCTCAATAAATCTCCACCTTACTTTAAATTTACAACCCTGCCAGTTTTTCTCTAAACAACAAGTTCTTGTTTTCACTTTGCGTCAAGAAGCAAAACATCATAAGTATGTTGTTTACTTTAAGTTTGACATCCTCTAGAGGAAATCCAACCTCTTCCTGTAATTTAATGGACTTATTATTATCTCTTAAAATACCCTAATTAGATTTAAAAAAAAAATAAAAGTATTAGCCAAAATGGTTCATATTTCATAACTTTCATAATCTGTGAAATATTGTAAAAGTCACCCTTAGAAGTTTATACTAACACACAATAAAGAAATACAGGGTAATAAATCTTCACGCTGTCTGGGAGGCTTTTTCTTATAATCATTGCAGTGGCATAATATCACATAGAACATTTTTAGAAGTCCAAATTTGAATCTGAATGCTTATAATCCCAACATTATAAGAAATTAACATAGATTTTTGGTTTCTGTTTTGTTTCTTAGAAATAAATGATGCCACATCCATTTGCACTTCTGAGAGTCCTGATTAAGATATGCTTTACTTCAGCACTGTGTGGGAAATCCAAATTAATGAACTGCAACCTTCTGTTTTCCTGGCATTTATAATGTGAAACAGAGACCAATGTTAAAATGAGTGAGAAAAGGGAACATGTTATTTAAGTTAAGAAGACGCGCCTTGATCTTTAGAAATAATAGCTGCAAGACAACAGTTACTCGTGTAAACTTTGTTTTTATCCAAAGTTAGAGAAATAACGTTAAAAAACAACCAATGCTGTTTCTAACAAGACATGTTCCCACTTACAATGATGGGGATGTTGAGGGAGGAAACAAATAAAAACAACAACAACAACAACAACAACAACCAAAAACAACAAGTTGTATGTTGAAAGACTGCTGCAATTTTGAAGTGTTAGGCTATTTTAAGATGTTTTCTTTATTGTATTTTTTTACCCGTGCTATTAAATGTGGCAGGGTCTGTAACCATATGTGCAACACACTTTGCTGCCAGACACAACATTCCAGTGTTTTATGTCACCACACTAAACATATCACTTTTTAAAATATTCTGAGCAGAAAAAATAATAATAATAATATATATATATATATATATATATATATATATATATATATATATATATATATATATATATATATATATATATATATATATATATATATATATATATAATTTTTTCCTCTTATATCAATAAGTAGTTATAACAATGTTATTAATCCGAATAAAAGATCCAGCATGTTGATTTCAGTTAAGTCTGAAATCTTTTCTTTGAACAGAATTTGTAGCGAGATTAAACTTAAGACACGCTATCAGTATTTTTATACTATTTGTTCTGTTTTACAACTTTTACTTAACTTCACTCAGTCTAACTGCCGCCGATGTTTTTTAGACGGGGAAACTGTTGTAAAGTAGGATATTAGAAATAGAAATAGTTCTTTTCGCTCTTGTTACCAACTATTCTGGAGTTTCTTTTCCTCTTTGTTCCCTAAACTAAGAGTTTTTCTCGTGTAAAGCGCAGTTCATTCAAGAGTTTTCAAGGCTGTCTGCTCTCACCTAAACAGGATCAGGCAGCTCTGGTCTTTGCAGGTTAGTTTGTTTTGTTCTGTCGCTTCTTCTCTTGCTGTAGTTCCCAGAGCTCCAAACGCCTCCAACCGTCCATCAGAAGTCCAGGCTCTCCTTTAACCTTCCCGCTGAGTGTTATTTACCGCAGAGCTGGAGTCCATGACAGTAAACTCTAGAACTGCAGGCAGGAGGGAGGGGAGGAAGTGAAAGTCTCACTGGAGAGTGAACAAAGCATGCCCCACAGAATAAAAAAAAAAAGTCAGGTTTTGAAAACGAAATAAAAGTGATCTCAACTTTTCATCAAACCTTGGGGTGAGATTTTGAAATAGTTTGTAGCGAATAGGATTAGGGACACTGCAAAAAAAAAAAAAAAGAAGTTGACTGATTTTAAAAATTTACCTCAGTTTAATATGGGAAAAAAGTCAGAATTCTTACTTTAATCTCAGAATTCTGACTTTTTTCTCAGAATTTCAGGGGCGGAGCTAGATGAAGGTGCAGGGCCAATCATTGGCCACCCCTGTGGCCACCCCTACAATATTTTTTTCACCCTCTATAATACAGACGTTGGCAGCAGTAATACTATCAAAAATGTTTAAACTTATTAAACATTTAAATTTTTTTATATATTAATAGTTACTTGACAACTAAAACGCTTTGGTTAATTATGTCACAATGTTGGTTCTGTTATGTTTTCTTTTGAGTATTCAGTTTAACATTGCTCCATGTTTTCTAGTTTTATTGGTTTTATTCTTATTTTGTTGTGTTTTCTAGATGTATTTCAGTTCTCAGGTTTTTGTTTGTTGCTCTCTGTTTCCTTCTTGTGTTGGTCTCCTTTTTCCCTAGCTCCTTAGATGCTCTGTTCACACCTGCTCCCAATCTGCTCGTTAGTCCTCTCTAAGTTCAGTTAGCCATAAATGCTCTCCTTGTGCAGTTCCTCAGTGCTGGTTCCTTGTCTAACTTCCTCCATATCCGTCTTACTGTGTCTTCCTCATCGTGATTGTTTTCCATCCATGGTTTCTGGTTTGTTTTACTTTTTTCATGTTTGATTTTTGGATTCCTGCCTCAGTTGTCTGTTAACCTTTCATTAAATCTACAAGAAACTCACCTCTGCCTCCCTGCCATCTATTTTCTGTCACACTCATCGGCGTCGCCAGACCCCATTTACTGGGGCACGTGCCCCAGTATAAATGAGCTGTGCCCCAGTATAAATCTCATGAATATTTGCAACAGTTTTACATTTTTTTAATGCATCAATTTAGATAATTCCAACGGAAGGAGACATATATTTCTACTCAAATGCGCAGCAAGTGTGTTGGTAACTCCAAATTGAGGATGTATTAGCGCCCCCACGTCAGCGCATGTCACTGCATGAACTGCAGGTAAATTAACGCGCTGCTCTCAACTGAGTTGGATGGGACACTGTGCGGCCGCGACGCATTTTTAGTTCTGGTAACGTTTCTTACCTGTCAATTTTATTATTTTCCTAGTGAAACCACATGATTTATAGGCTACTAACTGAAAATGACTGCATTGATGTGTAGATGGATATAAGGAAATTCCTCACACGAAGCAGAGACAGGGAAGCAGTAAAACAAGATGAGAGAGAGGGAGGTAAGGTCCCGTAATGAATTAGTTATTTAAGCTAAGCAGTTACATTAGGGACGTTATAAGCAACATGATAGATATTTACATAATTATAAATTTACGTTTTTTTAATGTTTGCTGTAGAGAATGAGAATGAAGGTGCTGGAGTAGGAAAGGGAGGAGGAGGCGAGACTGACAGGCAAGAGACAGTTGAAGGACAGGAGAGACAGGTGAAGGACAGGAGAGACAGGACCATGAAGGTGATGAGGGAGCAACAACCAGCGTCCACAAACAAGAAGGGGACATTAGTGACTTAGGGGGAAAGCATGATGGTCCTAAACAAGTGAAGTTGTCCCACCATCCCCAGCACAAATTTGGAGTAAAAAAATGTTAATTTAATTCAAAATGGTTTGAGCTTTTCCTGGTTAAAAAAGAAAGCCTTGTCATCAAGGATATGCAGTGTGTTTTCAACTTGCTTGATAACATCATATTCCCAACATTAACGCAGGTCATCCAGATCTCCCTCACAATCACAATCATCAGCTGGAGTTGTGAAAGGTCATTCAGTGTGTTGAGAAGGATCCACACTTGGCCGAGGTGCACAATGGGACAAGACAGGCTCCATCATCTTGCTATTTTATCAGTTCAAAAAGGAAGAACTTTCTAAGTTGAGTCACAAGTGATTGACCACTTTGCAAAAATGAAAAATAGGAGGTACACTTTAATGCTCAAAAAATAAAAGGAAAACTTAGCTCAGGATGAGTTAAACTTTCCCCCGAACTAAAACTCTGTAACCTAGGAATTAATGATTACTTCAGAATGTGTATAAGGAAACTTTTTATTTGTCAAAGTTGTTGATGTCTTATTTTTTATAGCTGCAATGTTGAAAATGTTCATGTTTGTTCAAACAAATATGCTCTTACACTCATTATTATCTCAACTGGTAATTTTGGTAGGAATTTATCAGGGTTGGGCAGTGTGCTTGTCTGTATTTATGTATGGAAGGAGGAGCATATACACTAGGGGGCCAGTGCCCCAGTAAAGCTTTGTGCCTAGCAACGCCCCTGGTCACACTTATCCCAAATGGGGTTTACAAGGGGTGCTGGTGCCTATCTACAGCTCAAAAATCTCAAAATAAGCGGTCCTCCTAATTGTCAGTCATTCTGGTGATATGTTTACGTAAGGCTGTTGTTCTGTCAGATGAGCATACCTGGTCAGAACAGCTTACCATAGTCAATAGCCATTTATCCACATTTATCCCTTTAGTTTTGTACAACAAAGAAACTTTAAATTACCTCAACGGGCATGTATCCATTTAGTAATGTACAAAAAAATACAATTGAATTACTTACTTTTTGGTGTTTTTTGAAGCGTATGGTGATCTCAACTTAAATTGCTAGTTTTATTTGTTCATGACTAAAGGGATACATGTCCAAAACTCTGTACATGTAAACATCATTGTAATTTTTCTCTAGGACCATAACTATTAGAAAGTACACTTAACTACAGCCAGTCAGATTATTAAACCACCAGTTACTATTTTTAGTGGTTGTTAGGTTGACCATTAAAATTGATTGATCCAAAACATAATGGCTTATTCAGATTTTGTCCAAGATATTTGTAATTTCACCAAAATTGGTTTAACCAACTTGATAGGTTGTTTTTCCAACCTATCAATTCTTAGAGTGTAATATCATATCGATCCATCCAGAAATTCATCCATTCACACCATTTATTCATCTGCAGAAGACACACAATTATGCATGCTATTTCTACATCAACGGGAAATTATAGGGACTTTTTTTTTTCTTTAACAGGAACTTTAGGATTGAGGAGGAAGAGTAAATGGAATGCAAAATTTTGTGAAACTAAAAGGCTCAATGTAACCAGTAAGGCCTCACACTTCAGTTTTAATTTCACCTAACTACCTGGTGTTAATACAAACATTAATGACTTTGTTTAAGAGTGCATTTTCAAACTGAAATGTAATTACTATTGTCTTTATTATTGGAAGAAGTTTAGCCCATGTCACCTCATAAAGTTTCATTGATCACACACTCTGATATTCCTTAGGAGGGCCGTTTCTACTTCTAGTATTTCATTCTGGGGTTGGTATGAGCATTCACACCAGAGCAGGTTTATTCCAAAAAAGTTGTTCCAAAAAAAGAAACAAAGTCCAGTGGGTTGTTATTTAAACATTTTTGGAATGACTATGACCTGGATGACACACATGGTACATAGAATCTGTCTCATACTGTACCTAATCAATACATTTGTTTGGTGGAAATCCAGAATATTTTGAATTTCAATAGTTGCTGCAAAAACGTCACAATATGGCAATAACCAGAAAACTGCTTATATACAACAAGTAAAAGAACATTGTATAGTAAGCTATGCATGCAAAATCTGCATATGAATAAATATATTTGCCTGTCATTTTGGATGTGATAAATAATGATGGGGTATTGTGATATAGGAAAACAAAAGCTTAGGCAGGACACCATAGTAATATTCAAACAATATAAAACAGCAGATAATACAAGGTAGATAAATGCCATCCTTCGTCAAAACAACCTAAAACAGGAAACATTTAGTCGGATTTATTTTACTCAGTGACTTCTTTGCACAAGTTTGATGCATTTCCATAGCCTTTTTGATTTTGGTACTGAGGAACAAAAACTTTGGATCAACCCTTTACTGAGCCAGAGATAGGAATTGCTTTTATCAGAAACGAAGGAAAGGCTTGAGTAAAATGTAGTGAGTAAACTGCTTCAAATTCTGGTTCTGGTTTATTTTTGCATAGTTAGGACATCATTGATTAATGGATCTTTAACACGAAGTTTCACTAAGTTTCATTAGTATTGGAATGACTAGTTTTGTTTTCTGTTAGCCTACCGATTCCAGTCATGGACCGGTATGCTCCGAAGTCAGATGTGCTGACACTGTAACTTTGATAATAAACTCTGCTGGCAATTTTATTTTTTTTTTATTCAGTAGGTGTTGATAATTCTGGGTTTTAAAGGACATAAAACTTTTGTTTTGAGTAAAATCGATATATAAATAAAATAAACATAAATATATATAAGATATTGGTGGAATTGCATAATAACACTGCACAATGTGTTCACACTAAAAAGAACATTAAGAAATAAAAATAGGTTGTATTTCCAACATGACAGATCATGAAAAACGAGGAGAAATGTAAGATGAGTTCATTAAGCCTTTTCTTGAATGTGGTCTTCTCCAAAAATCAGAAGAAAAAGAAATAACATCTTTCAAATTAACTTTATATTTACAGTAAGAGACATATCTCTGGACTTTAAAAGGTGTTGTCTGTGAAAAAGCAAACCAGTTCCTAATGATTTTGATGCAATAATAATTAGTAATAATACAGCTTATCTTAAGAACCTCTCAGAACACACAAGGACACTGTACAAAAAACACAATCAACAATACACACTATTAAAAACAGCACATATTATTTAGCGTATGTATGCTGTCTTAAACAGATGAGCTTTTAGTCTTGGTTTACACAGAGAAAAAAATGCGTCACTATTATAAATCTCAGGTTGATTTTCATGGTGAGGACATGAGCAGGAGGCCAAC